CTAGCAATATTTATTTTATACCAAGCAGATTATACCAAGCAGAAGATTCGTGGAAAAATAAAATAAACCACGTAGAAAATAAATATGTATAGAGGATGAAATGCTCTCAAGTATGAATTAATTTTCTGTCTTCTCAGGCTACAATCATTTGAGTTAGGAGTATCCTAAGACACAAGACGATTCAGTGAAATCATCATCTGAATTAACTATACTCATGCCCATTTTTGTCAATATCTTTTTGTCCAAAGACCTGAGAAYGCAAGGTTTTAGATCCTTCTGTGTGCTACCTGTTAAATTTTACTCCTGTCAATACTTGCACATTTAAGTAACAGCCCTAAACACCACACCTCCATTTTTAGCATGTAAAGGTAATTTCTTTGTAGAYGACAGAATGGCACAAGTGGTGTCCTTGCAATGCCATTCTGGCAGAAAAAAAGCCCTGGCACAGCCATGGATAAAACCCTGCTTTTTCAAAGAAGGGACATTTCTGGTTATCCGATTGCCTGATCAGAGGTCAAAAGGCTTGACCCTGTGAAAATTACACAAAGTTTAAATAGTGGCTGATAAATTAGTATCTGTTTATACAGAAGGTCCAACAGAATTTCTCTTTTTGGCAGTSAATGTATTGGAGGACATAGGTCGTCAAAGGGATTGAAAAGAAGGGACACCAAAACCACGTGGTGCTCCCACAGTTCCTGCATTCTATCAGAGGCAAAAGGAAAAGCCTGGTGCCTCTTGCGCAGCTCATGTCTGTCTGGAAGCACTCCCCCGCAAGCCATCCTGCAGGGAAAGCAAAACCACTTATTTTTAGCCTTCTTTCCAGTCAGGGGGTGCTGGCAAGGCCCTGCAGTTTCCTCAGTTCACACCCTCTAAATGAGGGAATGGGGCCCCTGTGGTAAATGGCAACTGTCTCAAAAGGGTCCCCATATGAACAGGAGGGTTCCCCATGACAGCTAGGAGGGCCACTATGGGCAGTGTTAGGTGGCCCAGGGCTTCAGCAGCGCTGCACTCCTTGCCCCTGCCTTTCTGTGCCTGGCTGTCCCCACCTGCAGCCCTGGCAGCACCCTCTGGTCCATGGCAACAAAGTTTCAGAAAAGGCAACAGTGGGTTTCAAAATTTTTCCTTTCCTTCTTGGTGTCACAGCTCAGATAAAGGGATTTGTGTGAAGTTAACTTGCACGCAACTTTGCATGAGTCAAGCAACTTTGGGAGGAAAAAGAAGCAACCCACGAGCATTGCCAAGCCTTTAAAAATATCACACCCACTTATATCTGCACAAAGATAGATTTAAACAGCTTTTCACATTCCCTATGATTCTATGATCATCAAAGTTTAGCAAGAAAGCAGATAGTGAGAGTGGGGGAGTGTTTGTCTGCACTCAGCAAAAATAGAATGACATTTTTGCAAACTACTTTTCTAATCTGCCAAGAGTGATTTCTATACAATGTATGATACAGGCAAGAAATCGCCCAATCTATAGGTTTCTGCAGAGTATGATCCACCAGTCTTAATTTCTCTCCAACAGATGATGACAGATGATGCATGTTTCATCACCTAGCACACCTTAATTTTTGATGATGACTCTGTGGCTCCAGAAGACATTTCGATCCCCAAAATCAGKTCAGGGGACAGGAGTGAAATAAACTCAGTGTCTGTATAAAAGAATCAGCCTTCTGAGAAAAGCTGCAATAGATACAAATGCAGGAGATCTCACCCCACTTGCTACTAAGCAGGCTGAAAATGAAGTAATAGCTCTGAATCTCAGTTTCTTGTAAGAATCTCTAAGGGCCTATGACAATGCTGTTTAATGTGGTTATTAAAAATGGTTCAAGTCTGTGCTGAGTGCCTCAACTGATGGTATTTCAACATGAGTGTGACCAGTATGTAAGCAAATTTTAGAATGGAAACCTTGAACAGAATGGGAACAGGAATCTCCTTCCTGTTCCAGAGCAGCTGGCTGACTTCCCTGGAGGACCTCTSAGGGCAAGATATGAATGGCCTCAAAGAAGACAGATACGATATACCAATWATGAGGGGAAGCAAACTTCATAGCCAGGCTTACCCAATCCCCTCCCCCCCCCATATTTCCTCTCTCTTCTTCAGTCTCATGCTGGTTTTCACAATTAGATCTAGATATGAAGCTGGTAAATGACTTTTAGCTGCAAAAGCTGACAGCCTGGCTTTTTTCAGACAAACTCAACACTTTTTTCAGAACCATAACTTACCTGAACTGCAAGAGGCAGATCACACATCATGAGTATTGTACTGCTTTTGCAATAATATGAGATGATCAAAACTGTTACTCTGACACTGTTTGAMATGAGATTATTTTGGAGCTACTCAACAACCCCATTCAGTTCAAGACATGAAATGGCWGTGAGTCAGCTGAAACTATTTCCTCCCCAGTTTCTCTAATATTATAAGAGCATTTGACCATCATTTTCAAAGAAGGCCACATAATGAATAGAAGAGTTAGCCGAGGGTGCTGGTAAATAAACATCACAGTCCTCACTGAAGCCTCAACAAATGAAATGCAGTTTTAAAACAACCTTTATTCTGCTTGAAGACTTATTACAATTTTTAAAGCAACTCATAAACGAGACAGTTCCATCAACTCTACAGCTTGAACAAAATTTTAAGGAGGCATGTTTTCACTGTTGCCTTGTAAAGGCAATTTACAATCTGCTTTACCCTCCACCTCCTCAAAGACAATTTTAAACAAAGTAATCTTAATGTTTTAAAGACATGTAACAGAACAGAGCTTTATTTTCAAAAACAAGAATTAAAAAAAATAGCAGCATCTTGGGCAGCTAATGCGATCTCATCAGGACAAGCCAATGTAACTGTTACCAACTCCTACAGTTTAGCTTTAACTGCAGCAAACACAAGGTAATTCTACAGAAAATGWTGCACTGTGTAACCTTGTCCCATGGGAGGCATTATGCTTTGAGCTGCCCATTTCTAAAGTGACCCTGAAAAAAACAGTATCAGGATTCACTTTCCCAACTTAATACCATGCATAGCAAAAGCACTGCGTGAAAATCGGCAGAAGTTTTCCCCATTAGAAGCATCTGAATGTTTTCCCAAGCATTATTGTTTCATTGCCAATTACAAGACAAAGCCATTTTTTTCACTACAGAACAGTTGACACCAAATAGAAAATCTGAAGATTTGGTTTTACAGATTGCCTGACAAGATAACGGAACCATACAGACAAGCTTTTTTTTTTTTTTTTCTTGCTTTTTTTTTTTTTTTTTTTTTTTTTTTTTTTTTTTAAAGAAACTATCCAACAACACAGAAAATCAGTTTTCTAACTGTATCTGGAAACATGCTGCACCCACAAAGGTCTAGTGTGCATGTGTGCGTCTTTAAACAAAGTTAATGATAACACGTATTAAATTCAGCAAAATGATCACGTTCTACGAAAATGCACCTATGTGGGGAACTGTACATACATTAACACAGCATGTGTGCGTGTGAATGCACAGATACACATCCCCAACCTGCAAATTTATATTTTAACTTGAGTAAATCAGAAACTCTTAATTTCGCTTGTGAGTCTTGGTTCTCTTTGCTATGTTTCATGTCTTTCAAAGGCCTTGCGAATGAGATGCTGCAGTGCAGCATAACTCAGGGATTTAAAATAAAACTAAAAGTTTCCCAACTA